CTGAATACTGACGTTGCTACCTAATTTAAATATTCCCTTCGGTCTTCAAAGTGTAATAAATTACTCATTATTCAACATCCCGTTCATTATTTTGTGATCTGACATAAAATTTTAATTAATTAAGGTTTTTAGTGAAGATAAAAAAGTCAGTGTCAAGAGCGGGATTCGAACCTACGATCTTCGGCTAGATACGCCATCTCAACCCCACCTTTTGAATTTTCACTCGTTTTTGCCATTTTTCAAAAATTAAAATTAATTTTTTTATCTCAACTAAAAACCATAATTAATTGAAAGATATTAATTGGTCAAGCGGACGACGAAAACTAGTGAATTTAATAAAAATTCAATTTTACATGGATTTTATATTATCACGTACTAGTGAAAGATTTTTCTCAGGCAAAACTTCGTTCTACCACAACATTAATTTGTTGAAATTATTTCTTTTACATTATCCGAGACTATCTTTTTATGGTGTGGATGAAACTAAATGTTCAAGAATTATAGCGAATAGACTTACTAACAGATTTTGTTTCATTAGAACCATTATTTTAAATTTAACTTTACAACTTGTACACCCTTTAACTTAAAAGCTATCTACCATTGTCATAAACGTAAATTTATCGGTTTGGAGTCTCAAGGGTCAATATTGTATTACAGCAGACGTGTCGTTAAAACATTTCCTCCTGCTACACCCAGAAAGGCTAACAGATATTTTTTCATTGCATTATTAAATTAACCCTTTCGTGAAGGGTGAAGGTTGTTGTAAATATGTAAGGAGACATGCGACAGTTGCACACGATCATTAAACAACTCCTTGCGTGGGTCAGCACCTATTACCTCTGCTGAATTTTTTAAGGGTGATGAACCCCCAACGTGATCTATTTTCAACGCTTCCTGATTTTCTCATTAACATACTGTTTGATTTTGACAAACAGAACTGTCTCTAATTTCCTTTCAATTATTTACGTATTATTAAATGGCAATCTTGCAAGAATATGACTGCTCGAATGATAAAAAATCCAAAACCATACATGCAGGAATGTTCAAATAAGTTCTATTCAGAAACATTTAAGTAATTACCAAAAACTAAGTAAAACAATTGTGTAGAATATCAAAGTTTCGTTAACTATTTTTAACGTCAGCAGTACTTATAAACCTTGAAATGTTTGCTATTTGTTGAATTGGTCAAAATATTATTAAACAACAAGAATTATTTATTCATTTTCTTCTAGGGTATTTTTAAATTTTAATTGTGTGAGTAAGTAAATTCTCCCAAACAGGAAGAATATCGTTGCGAGAAGTCAGATCACTTACAACAGTTCGTTTATTATTATTATTATTATTATGTCACGAGCGGGATTCGAACCCACGACCTTTTGGTTCGAATTCCGCTCTTAACACCAGCTTTTCATTTCAACCAAAGCCGTACATAAAAATATTAATTAATTGAAAGAAGTAATTTGGTCAAACAGACCACTAAATATAAAGGATTATTATTAGTCTCAATTAAAATTCCATAGCTATACCGGAATTCGAACTCAGAATCGCTAGCGTGAAAAACACGAGTCGGACATACTAACCACTCAGCCACGCGGTCCTCAAACGTACAAATTTGCAAGACTAAATTTTAATATTCTTAATTTGTATGCGTATTTCGTTTCCGATATCAGTAAATATGAAGAAACAAGATTCTGTATGCTAGGAGGTACATATCTCCCGCCCTCAAAGCCGATTTACTTACGTAAAAACGTATTCTTTTAAAAACAATATAACGAGCTGTATATTGTAAAGAACAGTCAGATTTGCACGATAAGTAAAACATTTGATTGGTCACACAACGTTTCAATCTGTATACGACGGATGTATATTTCATAAAGTAGAAAACACAAAATTCTTTCTGCATATTGATGAGTAAACTACCTTAGTGAACTAAACTTGGGGTGATTGAATATATATTAAGAAACACCCTTCTGTTAACTCTTGCAATAATTGCCGAAACCGATAAATAATAAAACTGAGCAATTATAACTATTAGAATTGTCTTTATTAAAAGTTTTCTAATTTTACTCATTACTCATTTTATTTTTGTTTGTTAGTAGACACATTCTGACGCGTTCTATACATTTGTGGGGTCCTACATAGCAAAGCGTACTTTTATCGGAAAGTAGGGTAATTAATACTTCCATTCGCTGAACGGGTGTTCCTCAGGGTAGCTTTATAAGGCCTTACTTATATTTGGTATACTCTTCTGATTTTTCAATCCAAGATACACTTTGCTGTAATATTATAAGTAAAGGTACATGTCACAAGACGGCTAACGATACCAAACTGGAAAGATGGAATGTAGTGAATGGAGAGTAAAAATGCTGTGAAATGAAAGCCCGTTAATTTCACGCTTAACAAAAAGATAACCAACTAGACTAACATTTGAATGAACAGCTACAGGCAAATTACATAAAAATGCATTCTACAGCAAGAGACGCAGACACCCTCAAATCTACCTCCATCTCTTGACCATAGGTTCAAAAGGGCAACATTGAGTGACCATTAAATCCATCTTTACGTAAGGCGTTGGTTGAGAAAAAAAGGCAGTGTCACGTGCGGGATTCGAACCCACCTTCGGCTAAATAAGTCGCTGCTCTATCACTTGAGCTATCGTGACTTCGTTCAACTAGGACAATAACCTCCCATCCCAACCCCAACTTTCGAATTTTCCCTCCTTTTTGACATTTTCCAAATAATTGAAATAAGTAATTTGGTCAATAGAACACTAAATATAATGAATAAATAAGACGTTTCATCCATCCTTAAATAGTGCCTCCAATCAGCGGGTTCAAGGGAAAGATCTTTCATCAAATTGATGTGGGTATTACGGCTTCTGTTCAGGAGCCACTTCTTACACCATTTTCTCTTCGATTTTTTGCTTTTAATATGTAAATAAACAGAGGAGTAGCACAAGTGATGGTCATCCATTTTGAATTCACTGGTTGACGTTCGGAGCGACTGGCTGTGGAGCGGTCGTGAATGCCCCCTCAAATTTCAGGCACTCCAAATGGAGCTGTACGGCTTGGCGCGGTTCCATTTGGAGTGATCGTGAATAGCCACCTTTAGGGTTCGTGGTCCGACCGACCGAATAACTTTTTTCAATTAATTAATATTTACGTAAGGCATTGGTTGAGAGTGTCACGAGCGGGATTCGAACCCACGATATTCTGCTAAATACGCCGCTGCTCTACCACTTGAGCTACCGTGACTTCGATCCACTCCCGCTCGTGACACTGACTTTTTTATCTCAACCAATGCCTTAGGTAAAGATTAATTAATTGAAAAAAGTTATTCGGTCGGTCGAACCAAGAAATCTAATGGATTAAATCCATGTTGATACCATGTAAATAAATTATTGAAGTAGTGAGGAGCGTCAGGAATGAAGTGTTTTAGAAAAATAGATTTTTCATTTTTTGCCGATGTTTCGACCTATATTCGGGTCATCTTCAGAACATAAAGTGAGGCGCTATTCTTGGGGTGATATTTTTGTTTCGCGTGAATTGTGAAAATTATATTACAATATATATTATAATTTTATTATTATTAATTATAATTATATTACTTCATTCCTCACTGCTCCTCACTACTTCAACAAATTATTGAACAACCGGTCACTAAATAATATGTACATGGTTGTATATAATTCATGTGTAAAATAATTTAATTTTAAATTTTTGGAGACTGCCATTGTGTTAAAACATGATATATAATGCTTCTTATTTACTATCTATATAGTCTTATTTATTAGATTTATTAAGCAAACCAAGCAAAATGTCAAATAAAGTTATAGTTACACAATAAAATAAAAACATTCGAAAATTTGTCGTAAACGATGCTTTTATTGAATGGGAAAGCCAGAGGCAGTTTATACATTTTTTCATGAAATATTTCTTCTTTCTGACTAACTCAAAAATCTATTACATTATCGAACAAATTATAAAATGATTTAAAAATTGTTCAAAATCGTGAGCATCATCAAACCTTTTTTAATATAATTAGTGGCGATAATTCTTTTCCTTCATCTAATAAAATGGGCATTATTTATTTGGACATATTATTAGGTTTGAATGTTTCTGTAGTTTTCGATCAGTTTGCACCGCCTATCCTCGCTGGTTTGGTCTCCGTGCATTTCGCCATCTTCTGTGGTGGATCTGTGTGAATGTTTAAAATAAAACGACCGTACCTGGTAATAATAAACACTTCTTTTATGCGAAATTATGCCAATGTATAGTGTAAATGTCACTGGATCACGAGAAAAAGTATAGTTTCTTATTTGAAGAAACTATCGGCTTACCCTGGATAGTGGGATGCAATGCTCTTTAATTCTTTTAAATTCGCGGATTTCGTATGAAAACAAATTCCAAAAGCGTTATGGAAAAAATCGAAGAGTTCTATTTTCAAGTTTTTAAGCTGTAGCGGCAGTGCGGATATTTATTTACTGTACAATTTAACTAACAATGACTTAAAATTAAATTTCTCTCATTTGACTAACACGAAATGCTTCATTTTTTTATGGGCATTGCGAGAAACTCTACTTTATCGCGTGCACATTCTCAACGATTCCTAATAAATGACACAGTATGTTTGAAACACAATCCATGGAGATCTTAACATGAAGTTGCAAAGGCTAATTAAAAATTCACAAAAGAGTGATAGTTCACGCAAAAACCTTTTTTTATTTCAAAAAGACATTTCACATACTCGCACTTCTTGTGTAAACAAACGAAACATTCGGATTTATGTTTATTGCACTAATTAAAAAATCTGTAGACTGATGTCAGACAATCTTGGTCATAGTTTATTTCAAAACAAATATAGAATGTTAATTCTTAAAAATAAGATATTCTCATTTTTTTCAAATCAGCTGTTTCTGTTAAAACCAAAACAAAACAAATCTAAAATCATATGAAAAAGTTTCTTAACAACTATATCATAGAGAAAATGCGGTGACTCACCTAGAAGAAGACCTATTTTTACTAGTGCTCGGGTATGTTTCCATGTTTTGAGAAAAGTCGGCTTTCTAATTTTGACTGAGTATTTTGTATATAACTACTTTCTATTCTATTCTATTTCTTTTCTAAATGTGGAACTTGTGTACGATTGTGTATTGGTGTTGTTATGGTTTTCCCTATCACCTTAGCAATAGAATTTTTATTCGATAGCATTTTGAAAAATATTCCTCAGTTGAGCCTTCGTCCTCCGACGACGAGAGATACGACAAACAGGCAGACTTACCTGAAATAAACAATAAAGATTATTAATTATAATAAAATAATCTATTTCATTAAAAAGTGCATGGTAAGCATAAAAAATATAACAGCACTGGAACAAAATTTAAAGTTACCGATAACTTTTTAATTCAAAGAAAACTGCATTTGTAAAAAATATATTTATTCATTATACATAGCCATCATGGTGTGCTCTCCGTTTGCCTATGGACTAGTTCAACAAATATTTGGTATATGATGTTATATACATGTATATTATACAGGGTGGTCAGCTTGTGTTTAAAAAGTTTTCAGTGACAGTTCGCCTAAGGTGGAGTAGCATGCCGTAAACCTCATTGTTTTATCTCAATCCGTTCAAAAGTTACTATTTTTTAGTGTTTATTTAAGAAAAACACGTTTTACAAGTACATGTAGGATGTGAAAAAAATGAATTTACAAAATTAAAAAATTTTAGATTAAAAAAAATAATATATAAATAAAATGAATTTATATAATCCTAAAATAAAATTTTGTAGCATTTTTCACATCCTACATGTATTTGTAAAATTTAAACAATGTTTATAAATCCCAGGCCCTGAAGATGATCTCAATAAAGATCGAAACGTAGACACGGTAAAGAAAATGTTCTTCTAAAACCTACGTCACACCAGACCGCATCTTACGATCTCCGAATAATCATTGACTAACGGTCACTAAACACCACACATTTCTAACGTAATTTTTGAACCTTTAATTTAGCACCGATAACATAACTTTTAAACGGATTGAGATTTAAAAAAATGAGGTTTACGGCATTCTACTCCACTTTAGATGTAATATCAAAGAACAATTTTTTTAACGAACTGAGTACCCTGTATAGCAATATATAAACTACATATATAGAGAAAGTGTATGATGTCAAGAAAAATTATGTTTGTTTTTTTGATGTCATCTGTTTTAGCTTGTCAAATAAAAGTCAGAGCATCGAATGGAACAGGTTAAAGTCGTTGAACTATGAGCTCCCTTCCCCAAATCAGTACTTCTAATATATTGACATGCGGGCTATGATGAATTACTCTATTATACCAGAAACCAAGCTTTATTCATCTTCAACCACCTCAAAAATAGACTAGAACTTTCATACGTTGGGGTGCCTATTGACAATTTTAATTGGATACGAATAAACTCACCAAATGGGAACCTTTTGAATTAACCGTAAACCTTTTTGACCCAAATATGACAAACCATAAGATTAGCTTAATATATAATATACGTGAAAGTAAGCTCAGTGTCCTTTCACAATTTCTAAACAATTTACAAGCAACTGAGTAATTGCGTGTATATGATGATCAGTTTATGATGTCCAAAATTGATTGTACATTGACAAGAGGTAATTTTGTGGTCTATCCCAGTGGTTCCCGAAGTGTCCCTAGGGACCCCAGGGGGCCCCGGTATCATTCAGGGGATCCGTGGAAAATTAAAATTGATTTGGGGTTCTCTGAACAACGTCAGGGGGTCCGCGGGTAATAATATAAAATAATATAATATAAAATAGAAGTACGTTGGTTATCTAAAAGTGCATGTTTAAATCGATTTTATGCCCTCTTTGATTCAGTGTTGGATTTCCCGGAAGGCACAGACAATGATTTGCGACACAATTTAATTAACTCAAAATATGACATAGCCTATATGACAGATTTATTTGCCAAATTTGACGAAACTAATTTGAAACTACAAGGTAACCAATTAAATTCAATCAAAACTAAAACCTATCTACGTTTGTTGCAAAACTTTTTCTGTACAAACAAAACTTGGGAAGAGGGAGAATGTACTCAGTTTCCAAATCTTTCGAAATTGCAAATTAGACATGAAGATTTGCTCGCTTACTGTCAACATTTGACAGTACCAAATCTTACCTGAACCAAAGATTTGAAGACATTCTTCATTTGGATATTCCCGAACCCTTTTGCGCGTGGACAAACTCAGATCCCAAACAAAGATGAATCCATACTAATACAGGAGCAGTTTATTGAAATATCCACAAATGAGGAATTTAAACCAATGTTAGAACAAGGATACGACAAATTCTGGTTACAAAAACAGATCTCAATCTTATATCCTGCATTATGGGTACGGAAGTTGTTGACTGCTTTCCCGTCTTCCTATTTGGTAGAACGTGGATTCAGTGAACCTCATCCAAAAAAATCCGACTAGAAATTAATGCTCCTGGGGATTTGCGGTACATATATACTCTAATAATAAGCATGTATACACTCATAACATCTCATCTTCACCCAAGTCATTACGTTTTTATATTTTATTTTAAACAAAAGTAATTAATAGTATAAGTTATATATATTTATAATTTCAATAAATACTTCTTCAACAAACATTTTTTTTTTTAATTTGTAATTTTTATACTATACATTTATGTGGCTTTTTCACTTGGGGGTCCGTGGGCAATTTTTGACTTTAAAAACGGGTCCTTGGTTAAAAAAGTTTGGGAACCACTGGTCTATCCGATCCAAGGAGGACGCATTTCTTTCCTTCCAACAATCGTTTTGCCGTTACCTCTACAACCAATGGCATTTAATGAACGGTTTAGTACATTTTGTAATAAAAGTGCGTTCATTCCAATGTAGAATTATTGATAAAAAATTTAAGTTACTTGACAACTAATGACAGAAATAGATAGATAGATAAATAGATAGATAGAGATAGATAGATAGATAGATAGAGAGAGAGAGAGAGAGAGAGAGAGAGAGAGAGAGAGAGAGAGAGAGAGAGAGATTTGGACAATTGCATTATATATATATGTAATGCAGGGTGGGCGACCAAGATCCGAGGGGTTAAATGCCTGGGTAGACTCGTACCCCATCCCTAAAAGGTCCTGGACTTGGTCGGCTCACGTGTCCTGCATAAACCTCTTGGACCTGTTCACAAACCCCAAGAGTTTGGACCATTTAATCTCGGGGATTGATTTGGTGATGTCCTCTCCTTCAAAAGTTTCAAATCTAGACCTAGCATACATATCACACTGTGAGGTAGTGCCTTGCCGTTTCTTCTTTTATTTCGCAGAAGCGGCAAAAGGGATCTGGTAGAATACCCATTACGGAGAGGTGACTTCTCAGTGGTCAGTGGCCCGTCAGTATACCTTTCAGCCTCCTAATTTCCTTCCTTGAGTTAGAGAATGGCCATTTCGATTCAGCTGGTTTGATTTCTTTAACAAACTCTTTCGATTGCCTGAGTCCGGGGAATAGATCAATTCCTTAAGGAATTGTTTCATACCCCAGTTTTTAATACTCTCTTTCGCTGTGCTCATAGAGGAAGGTAATACCGGTTGTGGGCCGACGCAGTAGTAGAGCCTTCTTTGGCCAGGCTATCCGCCTCTTCATTGCCATACTGTCCTTTATGTGCTGGTATCCAAATAAGGGTTACCTTGTTCTCAAACCTGGAAGAGATTCTATTGATAAGATCTACAGTTTCCTCCACCAGTCTAGATGTTGACAAATCTTTTTGTAATGACCTAAGACTAGCCTGACTGTCAGAAAAAATTCTAATATCTTTATCTTGATTTTATTTTCCATAAGTGTTCTACAACACACATTAATGGCCCAGATTTCCGCCTGAAAAACGGTGGTGTTATTGCCAAGAGGGTTGGAGATGCTAATACTTAATTTAGGTAGATAGATTCCAGCACCACTCCCTTTACCTTTGACAAGTGAATTATATAGCAGTCTATATTACGATGGTCATCATCCACCCTATAATTATATTCACAAGGAGTGACTTGAAAGTACTTTTTTCCCAAAGGGGTTTTAACCTTTTTATCGCTAACGCTTAATAATTGGCCGTTAACCTTACTCAGTAGTTGTAGGATTTTCGAGTGACCTATGTTATTGCGCTTATGATTCCAGCTGCCTTCACTAATTAAGCCGGATATTGTCTTTATTTAGTTTAAATTGCATAAACAAATAACAGGTCATGCATCAGTCATATATAAAGTGCATAAGGCATTCAAAGCTCGAAGGTTCAATGAACAGTATATTTATTTTCTGGAGGTAACACGCTTTTACTTCATAATTATTGTAAAGAGGTGTTTCCTTTACAGTACCGAACTACATACTCAGAAATGTAACAAAACATGTTTACATGGACGGTCGAAGAGCCAGAATTCATGACAAGGAAGTAACAATTCTGCGGTTGGATGGAGCCAGCCCAAACAAAGTTTATAGCTTATTTCTCCAAAATATCCCCTTTTAGCTGACTTCCTGTCCGGTTTCTCGATTCGCCGAAGAGAGCGAGAGTGAAATGGTAGGACGACAGGCCGTTTTATATGTGATATGGAGGTGGGAGTTGTGCAAGCGATCACATCAGTGAAAGTTTTCACTTTCCTTATATACATCTGGCGCATTCCTGCCCGGCGGCCGTTCCCCGGAGATTCTAAGCCACCCTAAGCTTCCGAACATTCACTCTCGCTTAATTTAACGCCCACAGATTCCGTTTTTATAGGCTTACATAAAATTTAATCCGAAAACTGGCTAATTGCTCACGGCATAGCTGCAGATCAAAACATTTTTTTGAATTCTTTCAAAAATACGGCCGCTTCATGCTCAGCACATTTTGTCTTGATAAAATAAACAGAACTGAAAATGAAACTTAAAATCTCGATCCCGTTATATACATTCAACCCTCACAAATTAATTATTGGTAATAATTATCTTGTTAATGATCTAACATAATCATGAGTGTGTGGCATGCGCGAAGGCATTCCACTATAAATTCCACTTTCCATTATAAATTCAGTAAACAATAAATCTGTAACAATAAAAATCATGCTTTCCCGTTTTCACCTACCTAATCAAAGTAAATAAAGAGGCATCAAACCTATCGTACATTATCCTGGTTGAATATAAAGTTTTGTGAGTAGAAGTGTTTCACTTCTGCTGGTCACCGACCACTTCAATTGGCGAACTAGCTTCTGTGGATATGACCACCAGATTGAGAATCAATTGCTTTTCAGACATG